AAGTTTTAAGTTACTGATAAACGTGTTGAAAGGTATGTACACTTCATAAGATTTATTCTAAGCGATGTTGATAAATTGATGTTTCCTTTCTTAATGGTAACTCACCATCATTTTTTTATGAACACGACCAAATTTATACTCCTTTTGTCACGACTCCTCACTTACATTTTCTAGACAAGTTCCGACGTTTCCATTGTGTTCTCGCTATCTTCATTTTCTTCTGAAGCTGTTTCCGGAACAATTCATCTCCATTGCAACCTTTCTCACGAAAGACACTAAACATTAATTGCATTTCAGAAAGGTATAATCAAATGTTTGCGTACATTCATTACGAAAAAAAATATTTTTCTCTACAGATTTCAGAATTTTAAAAAAGAAACCGATTGCTTCTAAATATAAGTGTGCTATTCTCGTTGATCATAAATCTTATAAATGATGCAAGCGTCTTGTGTATTCAGACGTAAATGCAACAGATAAAGTAGCTTTTTATGCTAAATTTCATCGACAGAATTTTTTCAAGCAATGGATGACATCATTGGTTCCGGACGTGTTTTGTGTTGTTTTTAACCGCTGAAGCCCCACTTGACCATGACTGCATATGTAAAAACACGTTTCGACGGATAACTGGAGTGTCTGGTTGAGACAGGCGAAGAGGGAAAGAAAACATATTTCGTTCGTTAAGGGCAAAAAAGTACTTCGTACACTTTCCTTCTGAGGGGAAATAAAGGCGGCTGTTCCATGTTAGTAGATTTACTGCATGTAAAAGATTCTCAAGCGTAATGAAGTTTCTGAAATAAGTTCGAATTGCCTGTTTCGTCGCCCAAGAAATTCCCTCTTTCTCTGCTAGTTGGTGAAAGAACCGCTGTGGTGAAACGGAAGAGCAGGCCTCAGGCCAGCAGGCCTGAATAATCAATTAAAATAATTCAATCAGTGAATTCACTCCCTCTGCCTTCACCTTGAGCCTTCAACGCCAATCTCCGCGTCCACTCTCTCAATTCCCGCTGCCTTCAGCGCCACCTCCACCTCTACCGCCCCGCCACCATCGCTGCCGCCACTTTCCCCGCCCACCGTCACCTCCGCCATCACAGCAGCCGCCATCGCCACCGCCATCTCCACCGCCTCCGCCATCCCAACGCCTCGCCGACGCGATCATCTGAGCTTCTCTCTTCCTTCGCGTCCACCGCGCTCCCTGTGGTTGGCGTCACCTCCATCGCCGCCGCCGCCGCTCCCGCCGCCGCCTCGGGCGGAGGCTGGCCTCGCAAGAGTTACGTAAGCGCCTTGGATTCCCGCCTCGGCCCCGCCCCACCCGCCACGCCCCGCCACGCCCCGCGCTGCCTCTTCGACGCATGAGGCGGCGCTGTGAAGCACGCATGCGCTGTTCGCCTCTCCTCCGCTCTTTTGTTCCTACCCGTCACCGACATCCGTCATGCGTTTTGCTTTTCCTGTTTTCCCTCTCGGTGTTTCTACAGTTCTCAATGTCACGCTTCCAATCAACCTGTAACTAATGGTTGTGCGATTACACGTATGGTAATGTATGCAAATATGAATGGAACAATTGTGAATAGAAGTAAAGTAGGTGTTCAGGCTATATCTATACCTACATGGTGTCAATACTCATAAGCAGAATGTATTCATTGCATCCCTTTCCAGACCTTGCGTTGTGCCTGCACTAGTTCTCTCCTTCGTGTACAATTAATAACATCGGAAGTTTTGTGTGCGTTGAAAGCGGCTCACCTCTGCTCGCAGGTGTATGCCGCCCGGGTAGACACGGAGGTCAAATGCTTGTTTCATGCCACACCGGTGCAGAATGACTCACGAGACGTGCAGTCGTCGTGGGCGCCGGTGGCTGCGAGAATGTCCCAGATGGAAGGCAGCATTCCTACCGCCAGCAGCGTCTAGCCGTCGTCTAGGGTCTAGTTCGAGGCTACGCTATGCTGCAACACTGCTGGCAGGTAGCCATGTAATAAGTAATACTAGAGATTGAATTCCAGTTTGATCGCAAGGTCACGTTGGTCGATAATACAATTCCTATTACATTCATTTACAGGTAATTGGTGGTTTTACTACTTTAATTCTATTTTATTTAGTAACATTTTATTATATACATAAACATTTTTACATCCGGTGTGTTAGAAAAATATATAGAAAATATGCAAAATAAAAATTAATTATGGCGTTTAAAATTGATCAATACAAGAAGATTAAAATTTGCGAACACAAAATGCCACCAATCAGGCCTTACACGAATTCAAAGCGACTAAACGAATGCTCTACATCCGTAGGAGTAATTTGACACTAGTTTTCATCGCACAATACGAATTTTATACGAGAAAGAAAGTACGCAAGTAGTAGGAAATATGCTAGGGACTTAGTGTAGCGGACAGCAATCAACAGCAATACTTCGGCCTCTCTATGCCACTTTTGAGCATCTGCGCATGCGCTAAAATTCGGGATTTCAGTCGTTTACTGCACGATAAGCTATGCCTAATGTTTCTTATGATAAGTCGGTGCACACGTATACAGACTTACAGTGCACTTAGTGATGTATCGCTAGGGGTGTGTGTGTACCTTACCTCCCTCAATGCAACATTAATTTTGTAACCGAATCTATTTTCTCAAAATAACCCTACATATTCATCACATCAAGGGCCAAAGGAGTATTCTGGTTAGACCTGGGCGGGAGGAATTTCATGAGAAGTGCCCGAATACTTGCGAGTGTGTCGCTGGGTTGGATTTTTTCCAGAGGGGGTGGGGTCGATAAGACAACGGGCAGTTCAGAGGTTTCTGAGACTTCTATCGAGTTATACTTGGCCTCTGTGAAACATGAGCAAGCACGTGACTGCGATTACTTCAGCTTCGCAAATATTCGTTCATCCTTGATTCCGTGTACGCGATTTGTAAGAAGCAGGTAGTAAGTTTAAGAATAATTTGTAGCAAAGGGCCAAAGGTCATGGCAGCGCAGCATTACATTGCTTTGTGTAAGAAAAAAAACGATTACAAGAACAGTTATTTGCAGACTTATTTCTGCGATGTTCCTTTTTTAAGTGCAAATATATTTAAATGTTTAAAAAAAATGTAAAAAGGTTCTGTTCTTTTCAGACGGTCATGAAATCGAAATCATTGATTTAAAGTCAAAGAACGATGTAAACGGTCACTTTTAATATAGAGAAAACGGAAATATGCTAATAAAATCATTAGAATATTTCAGTGAATTTTCATTTAATAGCCTGACATTTTCGTATTATTAACAAGTCTTATTAATGAAAAATTTATTGAATTGATAATGTCATATTTCCTTCTTTGAAATTAGGTACAAATTAAAACAAGAGAAAAACAATTTAATTTTAAATAGGAGACATATTACACTCACTCATTGATATAGCGATTTATTTATCTGAAGGACAAACTTCGTTATAACATTAATTTTGACAGATTAGTTTGTTCATCGAAAATGACTTTTAGTATCGTAAGATACACAGATACTCAGAAATCCCCCTGATGTTAATATAGGTATACAACTAGGAGGCAACATACCAGAGGAATTCGGAAAAAAATAGTTCGTCACAACCTACATGCAATACGTGGTTGGCAGATCGAGATGTCAAACCCTAAGGGTCCTCAGGCAATCAACTGATACGGACACCCATTTTGGTAATTACGCTTTATATTAACTTGAACTGTTGTACTATCGTTCACTAATAATTTACGGAATATTCTATACTACGTGAGGCACTATACACTAAGAAATTTTATAGGTTGGAAGTGTTGTCGTGAAGTGTGGAAGTGTTGAACATGTCGAAAATGTCGCGGGGGGACGTATTATTGTTTCATGAAGGACATGACGAGGGATAAGAGACGAAACGTATAGCTGATTTTAGCTTGAAAATATATTTTATTACGTTGGAGCGAATATTTGTAAAACTTCTTGCCAAAACTCGTCATTTCTTTTTGTATTCAGAATTCAACTTGTATATGGCTTAAGATAGGGATCCCAGTAACAAAACGTGGCCACAATGCACTTCTCTCTGTAGCAAGTCACACTGTTTTTAACTGTTTTGACGTCAAATAAATAAAATAAGAACAACGTTGCTCTGTCTAGCCGGTGGCCGCAGGAATGGTGAGCGTTGTCTGCCACTGTAAATGCGAAGGGATGATCTTGAAATACAAGTGACGATAAGAGATGAGAAGCGGCGCCACAGCCTCTCAGAGGAACCCATGCCTTTCGCTGATTAGTGTCCGCGACAACCTCCGCGTAGCAGAAGCTGGTGCAGAGGTTGGCGCATTTACTCTGCATGAAACCGACTGTCAAAAAACCGCCAACATTCAACAATCAGGTTCTACGGAGGTCTAAGGAGTGAGAACTTAAGTATGTCCCAAATTTACGAACAAGCAACCGTCAGAAATCAAGATTGAGGTCTTAGGCATCGGACAAAAACTTTTAATCACACAGGTTTCGGTCAGTGAGGGCAACAGTCCATGGGCAAGGAGGTCCAATACGTTACCCATAAGTCGAATACGAAAAGGATATTCATCGTTCTTTGAAGAAATTAAATTAAAGAAAAAAATACTAGATTATTTTTTCTGCAGGAGGTGTGTATAATGTTAGCTTCCCCATATGAAACACCGTAGATGATGATGATAATAATAATTATAATAATAATAATCTGACAATAATAAAAATAGTTACAAGAAGAAAACATTATTCCACGAGTCCCTAACATTGTATCGGAAAGTTTGAGCTACTGAAGCACAACAGAAACTTGTTTTTGTGCACGTAACTACTTAACGTAAAAGGATACGCTGCGAAAAAGATTATCGGATAGAACGTATCCATACGTAATAATAATTTAAAGTCCGACCAAGTCCCTGAAAAATGTGGTGCTATTGGTATGACATCTGATAGTATGATTCGATGGTTTTCAATTCGATTTCGCAGTTTGGGTGAGAGGGTTAGATAATAAGTAACAGAACACAAAAAATGCGCTGTTGACAGATTTATTATGCACGAAACGGATACAAAAGTGCATGCAACGCTGGCAGCGCAAGCAGGTGACAGGTCGGGGCGGGAGGATCAGGGCTGGGAGGCGCAAAGGGGATTTGGTCGGGACGAAGTCCCTCTTCCATTACAGGATGATCCGAGTCCGTCGCAGGGGTTTCGTGTCGAGGCCGAGGTGCCGCAGGGCTCAGCCCCAGTAGGCGATGGGGTAGTAGGAGTAGGCGGCCGGGTAGGCGTAGGCGATGGGGTAGTAGGCGCTCTCCGCGCCCTGCAGCGCCTCGCGCGGGACGGGGCGGGCGCCGGCCGGCTGCGGCTGCGCTTGCGGCAGCGGGTAGGGGGCCGGCGCGCCCCACGCCACGCACAGCAGCGCTGCGACCACGCACAGGGCAACCTGCGACAGCAACACACAACAGCTCCATAAGAAAATGTTCAGGATTAACGATCGGCAGTATTCCGTGGTTTCCCCGATCAACACCAGGCGAATGCCGGAGCAAATCCTACCAAATGGGCTACGGACCACGCGCGATATTTTCTACCTCTTGCTTGTCGTATCCTCTCCCCACACACACACTTGCACCAACTTGCATTTCACAAGCACACATGCCGCGAGACCGGTCGGGAGCTTAGAGCTTATCCCGGCTGGTGTGGTGCCCCGCTGGTGGGAGATACTTGGTTGGGGAAAACCCGCTAGCCGACGGTAGGTCGGCGCCGCATCTCGCCATACAACAAAGGAAAGATCACCGCACTACCCTTACGGAACTAAGGACCCTGGTAGTTGACGCACCCAGAATTATTAAACAATCAATCAATTCAGTATTCCACGGTGGGAGCGGTCAACGTTGTGCGCTGGAGCATCTCAAGGAGGCAACACGCGACAGCAACAGGCAACAGCAACAGGCAACAGGCCTATGAGAAAATGCTTGGGAAACGAAATGAGTGCGGACAACGCTGTGCACAGGAGGGTCGCAAGGAGTCCCAGGGCATCCTGCGACAGAAACAGGCAATAGTCTATGAGGAAATTTATTGGAAACGCAATGGGCGCCGACGCTGCGCAGAACAGCATCAAAGGTAAGCGCCAAGAAACATGCGATCTCAACATTGTCAACTGTAGAATATGTTAATAATAACAGGGCACTCAACGAGGCGAACAGAATCGACGTAGAGCTGATGCCACCTCCACAACTCGCCAATAAAATTATGTGCTTCTTAAGAATTTCTAAGATGTTTGGATGGTTTAATCTGTTGTACTCAAAACGCAGTAATGAGATGGAAACTGAGAGCTATTATTTTAGTAAACAAGCGTTGTGTATGACTACAATACTCAATGAATTCAAATTGTTTCACATGCTGATTTTTGTTTTTCACTGAAACTAAACGGGTTCGCGTGAAACCGGCATTTTGAGAGTAGGATTAATGAAAAGGTCAGGGGAAAATTCGTTGAAGATATGATAACAGTATTAAGTCCATATGCGAAGGCGGCTTAACACATACGTAATTGGTTAAGTTTTCAAGCAACCGCTCGCCGAATCCCAAGTGGAGTGGATGAGTTGCTCGCTCTTTGCAAAATGACGAACATTCGGTGTTCGCCTCCCCCGCCGCGTGTCGGTCTCTATCAAAGGAAGCGAGCACATCAGCTGTTCGGGATTCGCTCGCTGTTCGGCGAATGCCTTCGTGTCTACACCTTGGCCCAGGCGGTGGTCGTGCGCTGCGGAGGGGGAGCAGCCGGCGCGCGTTGCGCTTGGGCGCGGCCCTCGCTCATGAGCGCGAT